GAGAGGAGATTCTTAGAGGGGTTGGGTGGGGGTCTCACTGGCAAAGACATTGTGAGCGGGTGTTTAAAGCTCAGTCTAGTTTATGCCCCTTGGTATGTCACTGATAGAGGGAACGAATGTTTGTCACTCCTTCAGGGGAGAAATTCAGTGTCTCTTCCTGGGTCTAGATCTAGATCTATATAAGATACAGAGAATATTTATAGTCTGTCTCAGAGAGAGGGAACGCATTTGTGTCTTTCTTTTAGTCTATCTCAGAAAAATAGATCCTTAGTGTATGTCTTCCTCTGTCTGTGTCGGGAAAAGATGACACAACTACATTTACAAAAAGAGAACGCACGTGTGTCTCCGGCCTGTCTCAGATCGAGAGAGTACGAGTGTACCTCTCTCTTAGTCGTCTCAGAAAAAAGAGATCCCAATTGTATTTTATTCCTCTGTCTGTCTCAGAAAGAGAAGACAGAACAACTGTATCTCTTCCTCGGTCTGTATCAGATAGATAGAGCGAAAATTTATCTCTTCCTCGATTTGTCTCAGATAGAGAGAACGTAGATGACTTTTTGTGTCTTTTCTTCAGTGTGTCTCAGATCGCGAGCACATAAGTGCCTCCTCCTCAGTTCATCTCAGATGGAGAGAACAGAGGTGTATCTTTTCCTAAGTCAGTCTCAAATAGAGAGATGCCAAATATATCTCATCCTCGGTCTGTCTCAGATAGACAGAACGGCGGCGTGGCTTTCCTTCAGTCCCTTGGTCTGTCTCTAGGAGACACAAGCTTTCCTTTGTGCCCGTAAGCGGGCGGTACAACCGTGGTCAACGATCGATGACTTAAAACAATAGTGCGGAGCCAGTGGCTTATCGGAGAGTTTTCCGAGACACGAAATCAGTTGTTTGCCCTTTGGCTGGCGGCCCACTTCTTGTTTCCTCTGTTTGTCCAAATGTCACCACGTTCAATTGCTGCTTGTGACAATTACGTTAATTTAAAAACAATCCAGTCCTTTCTAGAACAACGACAAAGCTCGATATTGTTACCGTTTCCACGGCAACACCAAAAGCTAGAAATGGCGATGGTCGCTTCTGCTACTACTGATGGCGATAGAATGATGGTCAGCGGGTGGTCAGTGATTTGTTCTGGCGATTTCTGGAAGCTGAATTGAGAAGCTCAGTCTTTTTTCTCTTTCTACGAGCGTATCCGTGGTTACTGTTGTCTTGGTCTTTTCGATTGCAGAGTTTGTGGACGGATAAGAATTATAATATTGTTATATCACATTAAATAATTAAACACGTGTATGTTCGTGTGTGTTATGTGTGTGTATTGTTTTTGTGTTTGTGTACCTGTGTTTGCTTGGTCTAGAAATTTTGCTTTTATATTATGCTTATCTGTATGTTATAAGCGTGTATGTACGAGTGTGTCCATGTGCTCATATGTGTGTATGCTTTCGTTGGTTTGTTTGGTATATTTTAGTGCAGATATTGGCAAGTGTTATGCTTTTGGAAGGAAATTGTTAAATTTTCAATAACAACAATGATCTTAATAAATATGACTTCCCCCCCTCCCGCACTTCTTTTCCTTTCCTTTTCCACCCCCTCACAACACCCTCCCTCCCTCCTCCTCCTCCTCTTTACACAACGACATGATGACACAGTCCTACATGGAAGACCACCTCAAGAACCAGGACCGGCTGGACCGTGAGTGGGAAGCGGTCAGTGGCTACGTGGCTGACCCGTCCAGCACAAAAGTGGCCAATGACCCCTCCAATATGCGCAAGAACAGATTCGCCGACATTCTGCCCTGTGAGTACAACCCCCTACCACATTCTTGTGAATAAAATCGTTCGTTATTTCATTCCGTCATCCGTCAACCCATTCTTTCTTCCTTCATCTCCTCACTCTTTCAGTTGTTTATTTATACAATTATTTTATTATGCGCTGTATTTTCTTTTCATTTTTTCTAGAATTTGGTTGACACTTTTACGAATGCGTTTTTTTACGTCTAGTTACATGGAAGTCTGGGTTGGGTGGAAGTGGAAGTGAAAATATTAGTACATGTAGGCCCTACATTAATATATACTTCGGTGTATGTCTGTGAATGTATGTATGTGTTCGTCCACATGTGCTTCTAAGCATGTCCGGGTGTGAACATACCTCTCTTCTGTTGAACTGTCTTTGTTCCTGACCTTGACCCTTGGGTTATCAAGGTCGCTTCCGCTGTGTCATAAGAAATCCCGGAAGTAAGATAATGAGGACGTCCGGTGCTATTGTAACGTTGGTTGGTGATTCCTGGGGCCGGATCCGTGTTCCCTGTCCAGGGGATGACGGGGGCTCTTTACACTGAAGCTGTGGGTGGCTGGAGGACGTCACTTATTTGTCCGACTTCTTTACTTTCCTTCTCGTGTGTTTCTATTCATCTGTCTTGCTTTTCTCCCGCACTAAATGGCCGTTATTGTGTCGATATCCCTTTTTTGTTTCTCATACTAAAAGTAAAAGACACTGGATTCCTATTGGGTAGGCCGGTCGAAACATCTACATAGGTTTATGACAGTGTAAAAAGTTTGGGATTGGTGAACGATTTGCAGGAAGGAAAAGTTTCGGTATATAGGGCTCTGATAGAAGTATAATTTAAAGACAGGGTTATGAGTTAAGGATACATCTTGGGTTTTATGGTAGAGACAGTACAATGGGTTTAGGTCAGGGTTAGGGTTTTAGAGGAATGATAGGTTTAGGGTGTATGGTGAAATTTGGGTTTATGATCGGTTGGGTTATATGGGTCTAGCATATTAGATAATTATAGGGGGTTGGGGAAAGGACATTGGTTTACGGAATGTTTGTGGGTTTAGATACGGACATGCCAATGCATAGGTCGGCCAAACCGGGTTTAGGGCAAGTATATTCTACTTTTAGGGTAGGGACAGTGAGGGCATTTTAGCGACAGGGTCAGAAGTTGGAGGTAATGATAAAGCTATCATGTTGAGAGAGACTGGTATACAAGGATGACTCACCAACACACAGGGACGACGTCATAAACATTATCTCTGATCGCCTTTATACAACGAACAACCAGTTTTTATAATATGATTGCCATGATGTTTGATACACGTCTGCTGGCTGGTCCTGTAATAACACACACACACGCACGCGCGCGCACACACACACACACACACACACACACACACACACACTAACTTACTCGCTTCCTGTAAAGTCAGGAACGCAAGGCAGAGAGCAGCGTGCCGCGCTTGTCTATCTTTGGCCACTTCTTTCACTTTGACACTTACACACATGCAAGCAAACATACATACATCCGTGCATTCACACACGCACACATACACTCAATTGTCTCACGCACAAAAAGACAAAAACAAATCAAAACAAAAACAAACAATAGGCACATGCAAACAAACACACACTTTTAACTCGCATTCTCACTCTCACTGGGGCAGGAAAACACACTTTCACTCTGAATCTCTGCCTCTATGTCTTTTGTCCTCTCCCC